TTTTCTGAGGTCTTCAACCCCATTTCGGAAGAGGAAAGGGGTGGGAAACACGTGCCTGCCGTACAGCTGCTGCTGCTGTGTTGATGCGTACAACTGCTGGTCATTTTTTTTGGAATAAGTCGGTTGGTACATGTTGTTGTAAGTTGTTGTAATGTGTTTACTGTTGTTGCCGGTTGTATTGAATGGGTATGGGCTAGGTTTTTTTTTTTTTTGGAATTGAAAGTGGGTTACATATTGCTAAAGGATTGGGAGTTGGGTATTGGGCCGGTTGGAAAGAAAATGAAGGCCCAAAATTGGTCTTAAGATGGGTTGAAAGTGAAGTTTAAAGAGTCTAGATTTGTAATTAGAGAATAGCCAAATAAATTGATAATATAGCCAATTGAATTCATTTGGTAAATTCAGCTAGTAATTAAATAGGACAAATTAAATTAACTAACGAGCTTCTTAATTTTAATAAAATAAAATAGTTGATTTAGTTATAAACTAAATAATTAAAAATATAAGCTATTATATAATCAATATTAATTAACCAAATATTTAATTAAAACAAAATCTTTTTGAGAGTATTTTCAAATATTCATAAAATATACTAATTGATATATACATAATTATGTAAAGCATATATATTATTCAAAAATTATAAGAATGACAAAATTACTCTAAACTAACTTGAAAAATATATTGAATTTTATAAGGTCAATTATTTCAACTTGTTTGAAATTTAAGAAGCTCGATGATTAATTTACATCGGGGAGGATCGAAATTGGGTGTCAACATATGGCATCTCGGATGGAACTTGAACTTGCTTTCCCTCAATGACTTCAGTAGTCTAGTGAAATACTCCATGGCTAGCACAAATAGATATGGGGATAGTGGATCCCCTTGTCTCACCCCTCTTTTTGCTTGGAATGGCCTGCTGGGACAACCATTTATCATTATAGAATAGGAGACTATCTTAACACACTTCATTATCCATGTTATAAATTGTGCAGATATTTGCATACCAACTAAGACCTCTTCAAGAAAATGTCATTCCAAAGAGTCATAAGCCTTCTGCATATCAATTTTAAACATGCACCTAGGTGAAATTCATTTCTTTCCATACCCCTTCACTAGCTCATGACTTAGTATCACATTATCATTCAGCATTCGACCTGGTACAAAAGCAGTCTGACTAGGATCCACAAGATAATTCATTACAACTTGTAATCTATGTGTAAGCATTTTAGAAATTATCTTGTATAAGGTGGTACAACATGAAATAGGTCTATATTCTTTGATGGAACTAGGGTGCTGTACTTTTGGAATCAAAGTTACAGAAGTTCTGTTAATAGGGCCAAACATCTCATTGGTTGAAAAAATTATAATACATCATTTGTTACCGCATCTCCTATTGTTGTCCATGCTTGTTTGAAAAAGTGTTCATTGAAACCATCTCCTCTTGGTGCTTTATTATCATCAATTCCTTTGAGTGTTGTTAGAACATCCTCTATAGTAAAAGGTTGTATGAGTGCAAGTTGTTGTGTTCTAGTGAGCACAAGGCCATCTCTCATTGTTGCTGGTTGGCATGGGTGAAGTTGATTGTCCTAATAGTGCTTTGTAAAATCCCAGAGCTTCTTTTGTAATGGCATCTAGATTCCTTATGATTGTACCATCTTCTTTGGTGAGCATTGTGATTTGATTCCGAGCTTTCCTTCCTTTCATACTAACAAAGAAATATGCAGTATTTGAGTCCCCCAATTTGAGCCATTGCATTTGAGACTTCTGCTTATAGACTGACTCTTCAATCAAGCTCCATTTGGTCAATTGTGCCCTCATCTCCTTCTCTTCTTCTACCATGTGTTATGGAATATGTGTACTTCTCATTTGATTCTGTTTATCCACAAGTTCTCTTCTTATCTGCTGAACCTTTCCTGTGACCCCTACATATTCCTTTTTGTTTAATTGTTGCATTTCTCTTCTTACAATCTTCAGATTATTCCACACCCCTTTCATTCCTCCATTTTATATCTGCCAGCTTGACTGTATTGTGGTTTTAAAATCAGGGTGTTGTGCTAAACAATTATAGAATCTAAATGGCTTCTTCCTTATGTCCCTTTGTGATTCTACTTCTATACTTAGAGGGGAGTGATATGAGAATAGAGGCTCCATCACCATCACTTGTAATGTTGGCATTCTGATTACCCATTCATCATTCAACAGGGCTCTATCTATCCTGCTAAACACATGCCCATTAGTCCATGTATATTGCCTCCCTACTGTATGTAGCTCTGAAAGGTTATTGTTAATCATTCTCTAAAATCTTTGGTTTCTGCCAGCTGTACTTGACTCCCAATGGGTCTATCCTCTGGTGCCAAAATTGAGTTAAAATCACCCATGATCAGCCATGGTTCCCTGATGTGGGTGCTCAACTATTTTACCTTTTCCCATAATGAACTCCTGGTAGCTATGGTGTGCAGGCCATACACTGCTGTGAATTGAAACTTAAAATCACTTTGTTGCATATCAACCATGCCATGTACATATTGAACTGATGTTTCCACCCTTGTGAATTTGACTATGCTAGGATTCCATACACCCCAAATTCTGCCTCTAACTTCATTTGTATAATTAGTGCACCACTCCCATCCTGGCATTATTTTATTGATAATTCTCCCAACTTTCTCTTTTCTAACTCTATGTTCAAAAATTGCTATAATAGTTACTTTATTCCTCCTAACGAACAACCTCAGCTCCTTGTGTTTCACCTCTTGGTTGAACCCTCTAACATTCCAGGTTACTATCATATTATATTATAGGGTTCAGGTGGTGCCTCATGAGTAACATCCTCTATTCTTCCACTATGTTGCCCTGTTTCATAGATATTGTTCTCATTATTTGAATTGTCATCATGTCTAGTGTACTTAGTCTGCATATCCCTTTCTTTGCTGCTCTACGCCTCACATTTTGCCATTCTTCCTAATCCGATGACATATTTGTAGTATTTTGCTGGTCGTTGTCCTTAACCGGTTCCTTTCCTTCTTTTGTTGTTGGATTCCATTCCTTTCTTGGCCCTTGACACTACCCTTTCTTTGGTGGTGGTGCTCCTGGTTTAGTAATACAAGAATGTCCCACTTGAAAGCATTTTTGGCAGAAGATTGGCTTCCACTCATACCTCACTTGTTGCTCGAGAACTCTCCCCTTTGGATCCTTAATCTTGATCACAATAGGTAGTATCCTTGTTATGTCCATTTCAATAAGTATTCGAGCAAATGAGATTCTACTTGTTTGTGTTGTACATTCATCTGCATATAGAGGGTTCCCCAAACTACTACCTATTTTACTAAGCATAACAGAGTTCCAGCAGTTTAGAGGCAGGTTCGGAAGCTTGATCCATAAAGGAATTGTAGTGAGTATTTCCTCCTTAAAGTTGAAATTCGGATCCCATGGCTTCATAATAACTGGTCTCCTTAGTAAGCAATGAGGTCCTGAACATAACACTCTATCCCTTTCTTCCTCATTTGCAAACATTACTACAAAATATCCATCAGCATGATATAGTACCACTGGTTTACTAGAGAAATTACCCTGACTTAGAATGAATCTCTTCATAGCTCCTATTGATGGTGTTGTACCCACCACATATACAACCACTGAAGGTTTCCATTTCACTTCATCCTGAGCTATATCCTCAGCCAGTATTTCCACTACCTTTTCTCGTTCTACAATTATTGGAGCTATGTAAGTTAGATTCATACATCTAGCAGCCATACAATTCATAGCAAACAAGTTTGCCCATTGTTTCTCTGGTGTTTTTTCAGGCATACTCAGCTTAATTGCAAATTTGTCCACTGTTATTGTTCCATTCATTCCTTGCAAGGAATGGTTGTTGTTGCCTCCAGTTCCTTTGTATTGCGTTAATTCCGGCCACTGTTCCTCCCTTGCAGTTTCCCCTTTCCTCTTGACTGATTTCATCTCCGAAATATTAGTTGTTCCTTCTGGTGTGGTCGGAGCTGGTTCAAACATTTGTTTTGCTGCCTGCGTTGTTTTATTAGTGCTAGTGCTAATACCATAAAGTATTTATTCCTCGCTATGTCTTTGCGCTGCTCTGCGTGGTCGTTCCCTCCCCATTTCCGGCGAGGTGCAAGTTAGTGCACACCAACGTGCGCCAGAGCTCAGAGAAGAGAAGTTCAAAAAAAAAAAAATGTTATTTTTTTTCTCTTCAAAATAGAGCATCTGGTCTTGATTCTTTTGTACTTTATGCACTTTTAGTCAATTTTAAGAAGATATATGTACTTTCTATTACTAAAATGATGGTTTTATTTTAGTAAATAACAATAGATTTGAAGGGGATAAAAAATGTCATTTACAATATAAAATTTACATGAAATATTTTGGGATAAACGTGCAAAGCATGTTCCCAGAACTAGTTTGTATATAAGAGAAAAGGTAAAACAAAAACTATTGGTGTGAATAAATCAAAGAGGGATAAAGACTCCACTCTTTCGGAACAAGATTACTTCATTCACTAAAAAAATAATTACTTCCTCCGTCTCATTTGATGTGGCACCGTTATACTTGACACAATATTTTTTTATACTTGTGGTCTAAATCAATATAAATATATTTGTGTGGTTGTAAATCATTTCATTAATGATATAAAATAAATTTTAAAGTTAAATTATTTCTAATTATATAAATGTGACATTAATCTTTTTGGGACAAACTAAAAAGGAACGGGTGACACATAAAATGAGACGGAGGGAGTACTATTATTCCACTGAAAAATATTCAGTGGTTATTTCTACAAATACTTTGATTGAATTGGTGAGAAAAAAAGTAATATTCTCATACGGAAAAATTAGAAACTTTCTCACTATTTCAATGAGAATCTATTTCCCACTATACATTTTTCCAAGAACTAATTCGGTGGGAAATGAGTGGAAAAATCATGTTAACACTAATAATGATAACTTTAATAAGTGTGAACTATTAAGAGATATTTCTAGACTCATACTTAATAAAAGATTTACACTTAAGATAACTAAAAAGACATATGACATAGGCGCTTAAACATTTAAGCTTATTATTTTCAACAACCCTAGCTTATTACTCACCCGGATGAAGTAATAGAAAAAGCTTATTAAAGTAGTAGTTACTCAAAGAATCAAAGTTCAAGGCCACTCCCTTGAAGTTTCAATCTAGTAATCTTGTCAAGTTGCTCTTCCATTTTAGGTGTCAAGTGATTCTTCCAATCTCCAACAACTCCTTTTCTGAAAAACGAACTATTATGAACATTATAGAGGATTGAGCCACTCTTATTAACCTCCAAGTTCTTAAGATTCTCCAAGCTACACTTCTTCAAAACTATCTCCAAATCCTCTTCATTAACAAAAGGTTTTCCAAGAAACAAGGCTATTTTTTTCAACTCCTTTTTAGGGTCTATTTTCAAGTCTTCATACTTGAAGAATAGTATTGTTTTAGGCCTTTTTTTACTTTCTTCCCAGTATTCAAGAACATGTTCAAAGAATGGTCCATATAAATGAACCCCACTGCAAAAGGATTCCACAACTTCTTCTAAAGGGGAGAAATTTTCTAAACGCTTACAATTATAGTTGAAGAAATGCCATATGGAAATTAAGGTATCTTTAGGGTTTCTTGTTATATATATAATCTTGCAATTATCTGATTTTTTTTATTGAATTTGGTAAAACCCTATAAGCTAGGTAAATGAGTGTGAAATAATCTTGGAGAGGGCATTGTGTATAGATCATGAACTGGAGTTTTTGAATAGTAATTCATGGCCTCTATTATTGGAACATGAAAATGAGGATTATCCTTAACCAATAGGTCTTCTTCCTTTTTATTTCCTTCCATGATGGATAGACATATGGCCTTGAGCCATGTTGAACCTGAAAGACAAACATCAAACCTTAAACTGAAAATATATAAAAAATTTATAAGTTAAAATCTTTTTTTTTTTATAATTGATGTACAAAAAGTCAAAATTTATATATTTGTCGAAAATATATACTAGTTGATATTCTAATGGTGCGTTGGGTAGCCAAAGGAAAATGTTTCTTAGAAAATAAGTAGATTTCGTACTTGTAACTTTTATATTATGTGAGTTAGGTATGCTAAAAGATTATCCTAATATTATTTATACATAATCTAGACACAAATACAATGAGAGGTGGGGATGGAGTCTATGAGGATAGGGTGAAAATGAGATGTGTTGAATCTTGGAGGATGAGAGGAGACAATCAATGTGGAATGCCACTTATAGAACTTCTTTTTTCAACATCTTGAGGAAATGATTTACTGATCGTTTAAAGAACTTAATTTCCGAGAAAAAAAATTTCAAACATTTTGATCAATCCAAACATGAGAACATGAGAAAATGAAAAATATTTTCCTCCGTACCAAGCACACGCTAAATCTTTTAGAGTTATATTCACTAAGTGTATGTTTGGTACAAAAAATATTTATAATTTTCTTATGCCAGGTTGATCAAAATGTTTTGAAAAATACTTTCTCTAAGTTAGGTTTTGAAAATTATAAAAAATGACTTTCATAACGAGAATACAAAAATAAGCTTCATAAATGAAATTTCATCATAATCATTTTCTCCCCACACCCTAATAGTACGATGTACCATCCCCACCCTTATCGACCACCCTTGCTCCAGCCCTCGCCCAACCCCCACAACTAGGGCCAGTTCGATAGGTTTAGAATAAAGGCAACTACCTTAGGGCTCCAAATTTGAGGGGCCTCATTTTTTATTATAGTGTTTTTTAAGAAAGTATTGGGTAAGTACTATTTATAACAAGGATTATTTTTTTCATATAAAAGGAGAGAATTATTAGAAAATTGGGACATCTAGAGTAATGATTAAATTGATTGATTATATTATTTATTGAAAAAGAATTATTAAAAGAAATCAATAATTAAAAAATAATATTCAGCATCTCAAAGAGCTAAGAAGAAAAAAAATCATAAGAAAATATATTAACATTTTTTAAGTTTAAGGCCTCCATTCGATTTTTTCTTAAGTTATTAATAATGTGCTTGAGTCGCCCCTACCCGCACCCACCATCCCCCACCCTCAACACTTTCTCCCCAATCTCCATCTCCACCGCCCGGCCCTACCTGTCAACATATATATATAAATGTTTTTGTGACAATATTTTCTTCTTACTTACAAATATCAGAAGAAAGTTAGGAACACATTTTTCTTGGTACAAAACATGCTATCTTAAATATGGAACATATATTTTTCTACAAGAACATAAAATACTTAATGAATTCATTAATTAACTTGTATGAAGTAATTAAACTCAAATCTATTGGTAAATTAAAACCTGTTTTTATGAAAGATGCCAAAAGAACATCGTTAGGATCTGATTTGAAGGTTGCCTTGAAGATCTTGGCTTCCTTTATAATGGTAAGATTTGACCAAAAACCTTCCCATTGATAAAGTTCAGATTTATTCCAAACCGCTGATGATTCTTTGTCACTCATTTTAGGAATGGAATTTAATAAAAATGTAGTTGTAGTTCATATGGTTTAATTGGCCAAATGATTATGTGTATATATAGGGGAAGGCGGAGTGTTTTAAAAAAATATTTACATAATCGGATTACTTAACATAATTTCTACGCAATAAGAGATCTATAAAACCTCTAAAGTAAACATTTGCATTTAGTGATTCTAGCACATGCTATAATTTATAGGATAACCAAAAAATCAAATAGTAATAATATCTTCTTGGACTTTTAGAGTGAAGAAAGATTTGAAAAATATACTCAATCACGAGTTAATTTATGCTCTAATTTATTAATATTAATCTCACCCAACATAGTTGAGTGAAATGTATTGATAACCAAAAAAAGTGGTAGACTTGTTGCCTTACCTCCATACACAAGATTGGGAAATATATACTTAATAATTATATTATTTCCTTATAGTAAAAGAGGAAATAATGTCATATATAGTCTTTCTAATGTTTTTTTAAAATCGAAATCACATTGAAAGGAATCCAAACATAAAATTTACTTAAACCATAATATACAAATATTATAAGTTAATTTTTATTTAGCTAGTTATATATTTCCTCATTGACAGTTTAGTTTGCTTACAGTTAATAACCTATTTGGTTAGAGTAGTATCATATCCAAAGGAAAATAAAGATTGAATCCGATTTTTACTCCCATTGAATCATATCTATCTGACAACAATAATGTCATACAAGTCACTTTTCTTGTTGTCGAACGCCACTTGGGTCTTTATCAATGATCAATTTCTTTAGACTAAGATCATTGAAAGATTCCTACAATATTGGATGTAACACACAAAAGCATTTCTCTACCCAATTTTACCACAACACACAATAATACTTTTAAGCTAATATGCGAATAACATATTATTTAACTTGCATCAAGTCTACGATTTATAAATAACATGACAATGGCTTTTATGATATGTTGTTCCCCAATTCACTACATCAAATATGATCATGAGCGGTAATTAATTCTTAAATGACGCTAAATATATATTTTTAGCGGCAATTAGTACTTTTTGTAAATGTCCCTAAAGCCTTTAGCGACATTGGTTCTAATGACACTTAACTAATGCCGGTAAAGACTTTAGCACTCTTTATTAAAGTCAATATTTATTGCCACTAAAAGTTGTTTTTGTTGTAATGATTCAAAAATCTGTCCAAAATAAATTACAAGACGAACACAGATTGCTACTTCTATGATCTATTTCCCTCAATCAATAGAACAAACAAATCAAACAATATAATAGTTTCCTTAAAATTGTTGTTCAACCAATATTACTAAGATACTTAGAACAATAAATTTGAAGAATTTGGTATCAAACAAAAAAAGTTAAAAGAGCATTTTCAAAATTAGAAACCTAAAACCAGTATAGAAAATAGAATCTGAAATATATTAGAAAATAATATAAAAATATTCTTTTCAAAAAAGAAAATCGAACCTACTGAATGCACACTGTGTCCTTAAAAATGATTCCCCTCAAGTACCCAAGGTTAATGGAATATATCCTCCCAGAATAGAACGATCTTACTCACCGTTGTATCGGTACCTAATGCCACGGTGACAGCAAACCACTCACCAACAATAAAGTATACTTAGAATACTATATTTAGTAGAAGAAGAAGTCCAAAAATTCATTGTTGAAAAATAAGAGGAAATCCTCTATATAAAGACAACAAAGAGTAGTGTGGACAAGTATTTATTGTGCCTTATTGAAAAGGTCACGACACTTTAAAAAATGTCAAAAGTCATAACCCTTCGTAAAAGTCACAACCTTATGCGAATGTCACAACATTTCACAAATGTTCTAACTCTTGATAAAAGTTGTAACTATTCATTTTCCATTCATATAACTTTTCATTTTCCATTCTTACCTTTTTAAACTCAACAATCCCAAATATAGTTTCCTTTCTGTATACGAAAAGATTAGACTTGAACCCTTCCCTATATATAGACCCCAAATTTGTCTTCTTCTCTCATAAGTTTATTTGTGACTGATTTAAGATTTTAGAAAAGAAATAAAAAGATGAGTGAAACAGATGGTTGCCTTGTCAAGTGTTCTTCGGTCCCCTAGTAAAACTCCATAAAATGACACTAGGGACACTTTCATCACTATTAATCGATTTTTAATATATGATATCACCAATTTTGATTTACTCAATATTGAGTGCTCTATTATATTTTGTACCCTCTAAATGTCATGGGGTGTGATGTGTTAGAAAGAGATAATTTTTCTCCAATTTCCCTTTTCAGGTGATCGTTTAAATTATGTCTTTGGTTAGCCTAGTGGACTAAATTTATCTAAAAAAATATTCATGTCACGACCCAAAAATGCACATGATGGCACTTGTCTTAGCCCACTTAGACAAGTCAGCCTAATATCCAACTAATATGGTGAATGCGGAAGTAAATTAAGAAAAAGAGACTAACACCATCTAATAATGCGGAAATTATAATCAACTCAAAATAAAACCTCAAAACCTAGTAGTCACGTGTACAAGCCTCTAATGTATTACAATGAATTTGAAAGAAAAACACGAGTCTCAAATGATGTTGTCACTAAAGTAGACCAAGATCATAAATAGGAGTAAGAAGGTCCGCTGAGAAGACAAACAACTACCTCACAAATCTCCACAGGAAGCCTCGGAAAAGAAGAGAAAAGAAAGTATCACAAAGATCCGGGCTCGTAACCTACAAAAATGTAGGAGCAAGGGGTGAGTACCAAACACGGTACTCAACAAGTAAACTTCTAAACACAAGCTAAGGGAATAGAATACGGGTACTCCTACTACCCTAACTGAACCTCCACAACCTCAACCTGCATAAAAACCAGCCCAACCTAACAGTTCACAATTTGTTATCTACTGTATTCAGATTAGCAAACCAGAAATAATAAAAGATGAAAAGAAAAACACAAAGAACTATCCGAGTCCACAGAACACACTGTGTGTCCTTAAGAAATTTAATCCCCTCAAGTACCCGAGGTTGCAGATTAATTCCTCCCAAGATAAAACGGATTAACCATTAAAGAAGTAGCGGTACCTCAAACTTCGATAATTTCAACGAACTCAAAATGACAGCAACGAATCACACACACAGACACGATCGATCGATTTTGTTTTGTAAGAAATGTATGCAAAAGAAGGGAAGAATTCGATGCAGAAAAATGAGAGAAAACCTCTCTATTTATAGCC